TGCCGAAGGAAATGAAAAAAGTTCCGCGTCTGTAGACGAGTGTTTTTTTTCCATTGCTGCAAACATTCTATTTTCTTGCTCCACTCTGTTCCAAATTTTTAACATATTCGAATTATTATTCTCATTATCTTCAGAATAAGATCTTTTCCCCAAGAACCGAAAAATGACTCAAGTTAAAGAGATGTACGTTCTATAGGAGCATAGTGCGCTGTTGTATTTTTTGTATCCGTTCTGCCCAGAACTGTGGTATAATAACTAGTCAACGGATGGATCACGATTGTCTTCTCAGAAGACAATCGTGATCCATCCGTGAAGAAGAAGAAGACTCTTCTTCTTCTTCTTTATTCCGTAGCTGGCGCTTGATAAGCAGGTCTTCCCCGTAACCAATACGCTGCTGTCGGTGCCGCTGGCTGACTCGAGTCATTCACGATTTGCTTCTATCTTCGGCGATCTGTGGCGATGTCCCTGGCCTCTCCCGTGAAAACCTGTTGGGGCTTTAGTTCTTCGTCAATATGTTTGATCCACGTTTTCTTCGGTGCCGTCCGTTGAATCCTCTAGTCTGCTGGCCGTTCTCGCCATAGCAGTTTATGAGGTAGGCGATTGATGTTCATCCTGCATACATGTCCAAACCAGCGCAATCGTCGCTTCTGTATTTGGTCCTCAATTGTTGGTTGGTTGTCACATCTCGCTCGAATTGTGTCGTTACGTACCCGATCCCGAATTGAGATGCCCAGGATTTGCCGTAGACAACGCATTTGGAACACCTCAAGCTTACTGGTATCCGATTTGAGCAGCGTCCACGTCTCTGGCCCATGCAGGACAATCGGCATGATGAGTGTTCGAAAAAGGCGGATTTTGGTCTTCAGGGAGATGTTTGCCTTCTTCCATAGCACCATATGAGCGACGCAAATGTTGCTGTTGCTTGACCAACTCTGCTCCGAACCTCAGCACCGGATGCTATTTTCTTTTCTTGAACCAACGATCCCAGGTATTTGAACTCCTGCATCTGTTCGATCTGGACTCCGTTGAGGTGGACATTAGCTTGCGATCCATCCGTAGCCATAACTTTGGTCTTATCCGCATTTATCTTCAAACCATACGACTGTGCAATGCGAGCAATGTTGTAGAGGATGTCGGTGGCCTCGGCATCCGTTTCGGCAAAAATGGCGCTGTCGTCCGCGAACATCAGATCAGTGACAAAGTTGTTTTCACCATAGTGTACTCCTTGTCTACCTTCGAACGCTGTCCTCATTATGGCGTCGATCACAATGTTGAACAGCAGCGGTGAGGCGACGTCGCCTTGGTGAACTCCGGTTTGAATGGGAAATTCCTCAGACAGTTCGCCTCGGATCCGAACGCTGCTTGTTGACCCGTTGTATGACGTTCGAAGCAGGTTAATGATCTTCTGCGGCACATGTTCTTTCTCTAGTGCTATCCACAAGGCCGGCCAGTGAATGCAGTCGAACGCTGATTGGAAATCGATGAAGACGATGACCGTTCGTTTTCCGCATCGGATCCGTTCCTCCATCAACTGACGAATGGCAAAAATTTGGTCGACGCATCCCCGATGTGGTCTAAACCCTGCTTGCTCTTCCCGGCTGATCTGCTCCCGATATTTCTGTAGCCTCGTCTGTATGATCTTCATAAACACTTTGCCGATTATGGAAAGCAGGCTAATACCACGATAGTTCTTGCATTCACGATTATCGCCTTTCTTCAATATCGGAATGATAATGGCTTTCTTCCAGGCCATTGGGATGCTCTCCGATCGCCATATCTGCACCAGGAGGACGTGGAGGTGCTGCAGCAAAACTCACATTCTTTAGCGATTTGATGGCGCTTTTGACTTTGGCAGCCGTTGGTTCGTCATTGAGAAATGGGTTTGCTGGTAGCACAATTGGCGGTGGTTCCGGTAGCGGTCCCTGAGGTCGATCGTGATTGTATAATTGTTGGAAAAACTCTTTCCACCGTTGCAGACGCTCCTCGGATGACTTTGCAAAAGTACCGTCCGCCTTCTTGATGTTGTCATTCGTGGATTTGGTCTTTCCACCCAGCCGTCGAATGGTTTGGTATAACGTCCGATATTCGTGTTTGGACGCGGCTTCCTCCATTTCTGCTGCCACTTGATTCCAGTAGGCTTCCCGCTCTTCTTTTAGCTTCTTTCTGACTTCCTTGTTCAACCGACGATATTCTTCGAAATCGGCATGTTTGGCTTTCTTCCGCTTTTCCACCAGATCCAGACACTCGTCTGATGTCCATTGCTGTGTCCGACGCCAAATTGGAGGACACAACGGAATTGCACATTCGATGATGGCCGCTGATATTTGCTTTTCTTCTGTATCAATGTCTTCAGATGGTTCGAGCATCGCAAATCTGTTGGAAAACACGATCTGGAATTCCTGCTTTGCAGCTGGGAGTCGAAGACACACCCGATTTGGTTTGGCTGTTATTGGCGCCTTTCTCTTTGACCGCTGTAACCGAAGCTGCATCTTTGCCCGAACAAGGTAGTGATCAGGTCCACGGTCTAGTCCCCTCATTGCTCGCACATCTTTGAGAGACGATCGAAATCTGGTGTTGATTACGATTGTAAAAAACTGTAAACTGTAGAAAACAGCTGTTCGAAACCAAAGAGTCTTTCGGAGTCTTGACAATACTCTACACTAATAATAGCAACGTGGAGTACTCTTCTTCTTCCTTTCAAATAAATACATCGAGCTCATTTATCTTGTTTTCTTTCAAACATTAGTCAAAAAAGAGTTGCCTGCACTATATTTTGAAATGGATGATAGGATATTTGTGTTTCATAAATGTCGAATATTTCATGGTGATCTGTGAAATTCAGATACTAACATACCTATGAAAATCTCCTTGGTGGAAAAATGTAGACTTCAATGAGTTAAGTTCACGAAGTCAACACTAGATGAAGCGTGAGTAAAGTGAACTTCTATTTTTGAAAATTTAATTTCGCTGTTTTCTACACTAAAGAACAGAAAGTCCTCATTGCTTTGCGAATCTTGCATTCCAGCATTAGAAGGAATACAATTTAAAAACAGTATTGCATAAGTACAATAAAAATTTGTAAAATTGGAAGAGATTCTGAAACACATTCTGGACATGGAAAAATTCTTTCTACACTTAGATCTTTAAATGTAAAAACAATAAAATCGCACAACGGTGCTTGTGTTAAAAAAAGTTGAGTTTGAATTTGATGAAAGTATGAATGGTTTTTTTTTGAGTTTTGGAAAGCCATTTGTTTTTTCAGTATAAAATTCCTCCTTTTTCAGTACAAAATCGTCCTTATTGGGCTTTAAGAAACGAGCTGAATAGGGGCGTTTTACTTCAGCAATCCCAAAAGTAACTTCCTCTCCCCTAGTTACACGAACTTCGGAATCGGGTGCTGCCCAACCAAAAATAGTCCGGTTGAGTAACGAAACCGGACGGAGAAAGCTTTACCTGAAAACAACATGTTTTTTCTTATATTCGTTTAAGGTCTTTTCTTCGTTTTCGATGCCACGCTGTATCGGACGAAGAGTTGATGAGTTACTAGTGCGACTGAAAGAAGAGAATAGATGTTTTAAAAATACCTCACTCGGTTTTCGAATACGGTTTAGAACTAGTCCCACTCGAGAAGTTGACAAACGTTTCAAATGTGCTTCTTGCCACATTTGATTGCTTCGTTGAACAACATTATTCGCTTTTAAAGAAGCACAACCACTCCTTCTCATGAACATTCAATTTATACATATTTTGTCATTTTTTACAAAAAAATAAAAATAGATAACAGTTTAAGTCTCAGCTTTTCTCTCTGGCTTCTTTGTGGCTTTGACCAGTCTATCCGAGAAATCTGCACCAACCATTTTTCCTCCACTTGCAATTGTTACTTTCTTTATTGTTTCCGTAGCAGCTACTTTGCCCGTTTGCGTAAAGATAGTTTTACTGGTCAATGCTACCCCCGTCTTAGCGGCTGCTATTGAAGGAATTTTTATGAGAGAACCGACGAAAACCGGCGTTAAAGCAATATCCAGTCCAGCAAAAGCGATTGCCGTTCCAGCACTGACTTTGTCGTGGCATTCTTTTGTATGAGCTGCTCGACCAGTTTCCAGTACGGCATGTGTTATAGAGAAAGGTAATCCTAAGACAGGAATGACTGAAAGACCTTGAACAATTTTACCAGCTTGATTACTATAACAATGCAAGCAGATGTTGATGCCACTCTCATTCGACATTTTACAGCTTTTGTTCTTGCATTGCCATTTAGGTTTGCTTTCGCCACCAATACGATTTTTTTCCTGTAGAATATCTGATAATTGAATAAATTTGTTTACACTTAGATACACGGCTCTTAACATGTAGCTTTGCCTGTTTCCTGAACAATTGATGCGTATGAGCACATCATACCAGGATCCGTAGGCAAGACCTTTGTGAAAGACGATTGTAGATGTAGTTTTCTCGAAGGGACCACATAGCTTTTCCAGACAGAATCCTTGGCCTGGAGTGAAGATGTGTGCATCGAACAACTCTGCATCGATATCAATGAAGACAGACAATTCTGCACCCATTGTTATTGTATTTAAATAAAAAGGCTAGAAAACAGCTACTATACTTTTACCTGCAAATAAAAAAAGAAATTACTCAGATGCAGAGCTTTTTATATTAAACTGATAAGTGTCTAGCATATTATCGCCAAAAATATTGCTCTTCTTCCTCCTTATCTAGCCATTACGAACATCTGCTGGAAGTACTCTTTTATCAATATTTACAAATTTCATGTACTGCTCAACATCATTTTATTACTAAAGAAAGATGGCAAAAAAAATCAACATTGTTTTGGTCTACGATGTTTTATATATCACTATCTTCTTTTTAACTCAACGAGACATTTGAAAGTCTCTTTATCTTTGTTGTAGCACGCTTATCACACAGTTAGAAGACAAAATGTATATTTATCTCGTTGTGATGGTTCTCACACAAAACGTTTGACTCATTTAAAAGTTGGAATTTTCTAAAAAGATAAAAAATTCTACGAAAGTAAACAGTTTAAATTATTCTGCCTTTAACTGTACAAGGACTGAATGGACGGTCAATAAGTTATCTCAATTTCAGCGACGTTCTCGTACTTTCAAATGTATCGATTTCGTGTGTTTACTAGAACAAATCCATGACATTTACCCTATAGATTACTGCCTTTACTGTTAATAATGGTGTTCATGCGTTGTTCGAGTACGGGCATGGATACAGGTTTAACAGCTCATACTACGAGTTCTTTCCTATTCAATGTGACTGCTTTATCGTTGTGTTTAGAACTCATAATCATTTCAAATTGTTAGATGATGCTTACTACTCCCAAACTACACTATAAAATCCAATCTCAAATAATACCAGTCAATAGCCAAAGCATTTCTCTGCAAAACTACGTAAGGCTTAGGTCTCCATCTCTTTTGATTTCAGAGATACAGCCGTTTTCCGAGGACACATCTCTCATCCCAGACTAAAGATGTGCGAATGGGTTTAGCTATAGTATGTTTCTGAAAGACAAACTTTAATTAAATCTAATAGACGATATTTTAGAATAGAAAAAAGAATATGTAGCGTCGAAATTTGAACTGTTGTTCATGACTCAGATTACTTTTATTCATTTGTCTGAAGAACATTTAGAAACACAAACATTAGAGTCATTCAAGTATGATATAGGTAGTTTTTTAGATATATTTGATGTTCTCCTTACTTAAGAAAATCAAAATCTGTATTTCCGCTAACTCCCTACCTCTAGGCCGATTTTATAATATACGGTCTTTTCTGAAGCAAACAACATTTATTGAAACGAGACAACGGTAAAATAATTTACCAGAAAAATGAACGGTAATAATTTTTTTACCGGAGCAAAATATCGGTAACGGTAAAAGAGTTCTTACCGTACGAAATTTACCGCGGTAACGGTAAGATGAATTTATCGAAAAGCGAGATTACCGCGGTAGCGGTAAAATATTTTTACCGTTACCGCGGTAACGGTAAACGGATTTACCGATTACCGCGGTAACGGTAAACGGATTTACCGGTTACCGCACATCCCTATCCCAGACACGTCTGGGAATCTCGGAAACATATGGATCATAGGTAAACGATCACGCTCATCATCGTGGTGATGTTTGTTTCATTCTTCACGCAACCACAACGTCAGGAAAGCCAATTTGATGTTACCGTCAAAAATTAAAAACCATATATTTCACTCATTTCTTATGTCTCGAGTACCGATCGAGATCTTTGATTAATAATGTGGAAGAAGTCTTTCGCGCTCTTATTTTTTTCTACTATTTTTATTAATGATTTATAATTCCCTTGCACAGACATCATTAAATTTCTTTTTGTAGATGTTTTTGCCAACATGTGTGCCCTTAAATTTTCTCATTTGCATAAGATAGCATGAATGATGTGAACAGATCTAACCATCGATAAATGTATGTATCTTGTTCAAACTTTTCTCTACCTCAAATTAAGCAACGAACACTGTTAGGTTGCTTCTTGACAACTGTACACAATGGGAATTTATTGAATTGAAACTGATTGCCACGAACAGTAGTTTTCTCTTTTGGTGCGAAACAGTTTTAAAATGCTCTTCGTAAGCATTTAAAAGGTTTTTGAGTTGTTTATTAGTTGCTGTATCTGTATTATGTATATTTGTTGTAAAAAAACTGTCACATTCGAAGACTTTTCCTAAAAAAAAAGACGATCGTCTGAACTTTTGATGTAAATCCAAAATGGGTTGGAAAAGAAAAAGTATCAACTACGAGTAGTCTACTAAACATATATTTGAAAGAGTAATTTACTGTCTCAACATGAAAAAACAATAGGCTTTTATACGTATTTTTTCCTGGAATTTAAACCAGCAGACCGCCACTTGTAGTTGTCAGCGGCGTCGATTACTTTTTTCTGTCAGAAATACCGGTTGCTTACGGACGTTGAAAAGCTCAGAGCGTTATCTCTATTCGAAACATATAGAGGATACAAAATAAAGAAAATGTCAAATGCCAAATTCATTGTAAAGACTTGTAATCAACGATTTATTCGGTTTGAAACTGGTCGGGCTAGAAATAAACGCTCGATTAAATGGCATTGGATAAATATTTTCTGCTTTGTCTTTCAATTGATGATTACTTTTGTATTTTGCAAGATCAATTGTTTTTGAAAATTTTTTTTTTATTTTTAAGTACAATAGGAAGAACCAGGCGAAGAGGGAGACACTTACTTCTTCATCTGGCAAAAAAAAGAGACATTAATACTGCACATATACACGACTGAATAGAGTACGTGGAACATAACAAATATATATCTATTTATACAAAGACTCAGCCTGTATGCAACTAAATGAATTTCTTCAGTTTGACAAATAACTTAGGCAAAAGGAAAAGTGGTTACGGTAACAAAAGAACATTCTTTAATTTAATAGGTATGGCTTTGTTTTTCAATTTCAAAGATAATTTAGTATATGTTTCTATCAAGGAGTGCACACACACGCACACAACAATTGTTTTAAAAAATAAAATAAGTTGTACGTACGATACAGAGACTAAAAAAACAGCGACAACAACAATTACGGAAACATGTCAAATTTTTTTCCATAATACAACAACTATAAAATAAAAATGAATAAATAAATAAAAATTGCTTTTTCATATGACATTGGTGAGAAAAGATAAAAATGAAGATGAATTACAAACGAGACAGACTTTCACTGTATAGTGATGACGACGATAACGAGAGAGAAAGAGAGAGAAAGAAAGAGAGAGAGAGAGAGAGAGAGAGAGAGAGAGAGAGAGAGAGAGATAGAAAGAATTTCTTTTCAACACTGGCAACTGCTTCCTTTTTGATGTTGATCATTTGCAGTTAAGCGTGTTGTTTGTTTATTATATCCGCCAGCATTTTGGCCTCCATAATTACCGGCAGCACTCGGATCCTCAACGCCATCAGTCATTTTGTCCAATATAATATCCACTAGTCTAAAGAATAGCAAATAGATAAATGATACACTAGAAAGATTATAGTAGATATAGTCCAACGATTGTCTACCAGTAGCAAAGACGACTTAAACCGAAAAAATGCCATTGAACATAGGCAAACCTCATAGAAAATCCATATATAATGGATACAGAAACTCTCCAACAACCAGGGGTTTCCGATTGTTCTTAGGGATGGGAGGGCCTAAAATTTTGCTTTGCAGAAAGTTGCTGGTGAAAAAACGCCAAAGCTTTTGCCAGAAAGTCTAAACATTTTTTTTAGGGTGGAACCAGCACCCTGCCAATAACAGAGTAAATATATATTTCTTGTGACTCACCGTTCAAATACGGCTTTGACATTAATATTTTCTTTTGCTGATGTTTCAAAAAATTCTAATCCTAAAACAGAAACGATTAGGGGCCAAGTTAGAGAGGAAAATGTCAAAAAATATCGTACTTATAGACAAATAGCACAGTAAGCAAGCATGTTGCGTGCACAGGTGTGAAGGAAAGGTGATGTGTGTGATCTTACCAAGAGATGATGCTAATTTATCTCCCTGATCATATTGCACGATTCTTTCATTTTGCATATCACCTTTATTACCAACTAATACAACTTGAGCATTATCCCATGAATATGTTTTAATCTGAGTGACCCTTTTAAACAAACAAACACAAGAAGCATATTTGGCACAGGCACAACAACAATAATAATAACATAAAGCTAACATATAAACAATAATCCACACTGAACTAATAACAATGCAAAAAAGGTGAAAAGCGTTCATCTTTTTTCATATCCATGAGCTAGCAATAGTATTCACAGTGTAGTGATTAAAAAATTATGCGGCGATCATGAGGTTACCATTCCAGATACTATATATTGAAACTCAGTTAAAACAGATTGATAAATGTAACTAATTTGTTTCATAATTAACAAACTTGGTCAATCAAAAGCAGAAAATTTGTCTAATGAAAAGCGGCGCCTTGTTGAAAAAATGTTAGCATTAGCTAGAGTAATTTTTCTAATTGGTGAACAAATAAAATAGATAAAGTTGTGATTACTACGTTGCAAGACAATACACATGCACATACAATCAGACAACAAAAGAATTAACAACAACAACGAATATGAACGGACCTAATTGATCAGCAAGCCTTTTCCCACGTTCAGTTGTAACAGCTCTATCATGCTCAAGATCGCATTTATTTCCAACTAAAACAACCTGAGCATTGTCCCATGAGTACATTTTGATCTGAGTACACCTTAAAAATTGGAAACGACGATCGAAAATTATCAACGCTAATTGCGAATGTTCACGCGCATTTATACACACCAATCCCATTCAAAATCAAAGTCATCATTGTATCATCATAAACTTACCAATCTTGAACAGCATTAAATGATTCTTCATTTGTTATATCATACATTAATATAAATCCCATGGCGCCTCGATAGTAAGCAGCTAAATGATGTAAACAAAGAAAACCATAATGATTGAATTCGGTACGTTCTCTAATAGAGAAAGATGCTTCTTAAAATGTTTTTCGAAGAGTGACAAATCAACATTTCAAGAAGAATTAATCTGAATTAAATCAAATAAGACAAACTTGTTATTGTTCTATAACGTTCTTGACCAGCTGTATCCTAGAATAGTTCAGAATAAATATTACAATAATATCTGTGATAAATATAACTTATATATTACCCATATTTGTAATTTAACACGTTTATCTTGCCGAAAGACGGTTTTGACCTTGAAATCAATTCCAACTGTACTAACAAATGCTGACGTAAATGAATCATCAGCATAACGAAATAACTAAAAAAAACAAGCACAATAGATAATGGAAGAGAAAAGATTTAAAAAATAACACAACGTACAAATGATGTTTTTCCAACACTAGAATTCCCGATAATCAGAAGTTTAAACATATAATCAAAATTTTGGTCAGCTGCATCTTTTGCACCACCACGATCAGTTGAATGGCTGTTCTGAGTCATCTAAAATGAAGTAGACAAACATCAATAAAAAGTGATCTATGGCGAAAACACACAGTATTAGAAGAATATAGTAAAATGATATATGATATAGTAATATATGGGAAAGAAAGAAAGAAAAAAAAACAATTATTGTAAGCACAACTTCAAAATAATTTACTAAAGACTTTACTTCATACAGTAGATCAAAATTTAGAAGCCTGTACAGATAACTAATGATTTTCAAGAATTATCCGTGCTCGGGAAAAAATTTAGAATTTTGAATGATATTTGAACTATGGAATAATCGTGTATTCGGTAAACATGGAGATATGAGATGTGGACAAGAAAAAATTGGCCGTGTACGCCTATGCTAAAAATACAGGTAAAATTTTACACGTTCTATTTTCGTTTCTAATTTTCATTTTGATGTTGTCTTGCTAGCAGTATATGTCTCTAAGTTATGAATGGATCAATAGAGAGATTTGGCATCGTTAATTGCTCACTTCTGATTGGCTGTGGTTTTGAAAACCCAAGACAATGTAAAAAAAAAGACTTAATTTTCGGTTGATAACTTCAGTTTTAAGCGATTGATTGTCAAAGAAATAATACAGAAATCTATTTATAACAAGTCCCGAAGTACAGTTGCTAGACTAAAGAGGACGTTGCTTAGCAATGTGGCAGTGATCACGAACGTATAACTGTCTTTTATTATAGTCAAAAATATATTTTATCCATAAATCTCTACTATCGCCGTAAACTTTCCATATTTCACTTTGATAGTACAGATTTATGGATAAAATTTATAGATACCTAGTTCTGACTTTTTATGACCCGTGTCATCAATGTCGTTTAAAAATCGGCTATTATCGCGTTTTTTGAAAAAGTCGCCGTTTAGTCGCGATAAACCGACCCCTTTCTTGCACATCGCGAATTTCTCGCACGTCGTGATTAATTGGCGATTTTTTGTTGTTTTATCATTCACCATTTTGTTTAGCAGCTGAATATAAGAAACACGAATTTCGATGGCAGCCCATATCTTCAATGTGGTTTAAAAATTGGTGGGTAGCACTGTTTTATTTAGATTTCAATTTCAGGAGGATCGAATGAATGTTTTGGGAGGGTTACTGTCTGAAGCTTTTCTCCATGTTGAGAATTTGCTACGGGCGAACTCAACGTCCGGTGGAGCACCGCCCGACTCGCTCGCTAGATAAATCACTACCGGGTAGAGCTTCACACTGACTCGTCTGAATGACTCACACCGAGTTGGCACTGTCGTAACTTATGGCAGTGCCTTTAGTGACTTTAATGACTGTCTTGAAGACAGCCACTAGAGTGCAAAAGAGTGACAAAAAGGAAAAAAAGTCGCGACATAGTGCTTCAACAATTGGACACCAAGTCTCGCAAAAATTCGCCGATTCTTAAGCGATTTTACCACATTGGGAGACACTAACAGGCAGCTAAATGAAAATGACGGCGACATATTCTTCATATTGAACGTCAATGGTATCGACGTCATTTTGATTTTATTTTATCTTGAGCTCAGATAAACTTGCGATATTCACAAGGCTGTTTCATTCAAGATAAGCTATATTAAAAATAAGTCGCTATTTTCTTGGTAACAACTCATTGTTATTGCACCTTAGGAACCGGATGTTTCACAAAAGCTCAAATTGTTTTGTAGTTATCTAACGAGGGAACCTCCCTACATGCCCACTTCCGATTCAAATGCTTTAAACATGGATCACTAGACCTCAGTGAGATAGTAAGTACTCTAAAAGGATTCGGGCCCATGAGTCTTGAAGACCCGGTTTTCTGGAAAATCAGTTTTTCAGAAACTCTAAAAATTAACCAAAACCTTTTCTTAATGAGACATGATTACTCATTGAAAAACTGGTTTGCCAGAAAACCGGGTCTTCAGAGTCATAGACCCAAATTCTTTTAGGGTAATTACTACCTCACTGAGGTCTAGCGATCCATGTGCAAAGCATTTGAATCGGAAGCGGGCATCTAAGATTCCCTCGTAAGTTTAATCTAATCTAAATCTAAGTAGTTTCAAAGCACACTTGAGTGATAAATGTTTACATATTTTCAGAAGCGCTTAATATCTTTTCTTTTTCTTCAGTTCCTAACGGGTGGGCCAGAAATAATGACATACTTTTGTTCTCTTTCCTTCCGAGCACAACCCAGGTTCGAAGATTCCATTCTAAACTCATTCGATAGAGAATTTTCTGCTCTACAACATCCATTACCTTCTTTCATTATTTTAAAAATAGTGCAGAGTAGGGACAGATAAAAAGAATAACTGCGACGGAAGGAACAGGTGATAATTATGTTTATACTTGACCTAATTGATTATTTAAGAACGTTTCTGTTAGCTATTCATCACAAGTACTTTGCGTAAAAAATTCGTTTTCATTTAATTAATCCGGATTGAGAAATAAAATTTTTCCTAACATTTTGCCACTAAGAACGGATGATCCTGAAACGATGAGGTTATTCATGTATCTATTTTTATCTATATACCGTATGGTTTCAAGACTTTATTCTGACTTCAGAAGATAGAAAATTTTCTGCTCTACAAAATTCTATAACGAACACTTTCACTGCGTTGTTTGGCTAGTCCTTTTCCTACTTTTTTCAAAATCTCACGTTATCCGGAAGTACAGATTAACTTGTGCACTGAAAGCTGCACAATTTGGGTGACCAAACGAATAAGCAGCGTAATCTGAATGATAGCACTCAATCCGTTGAACATTTTTATACCACCTTCTTCTCTCAATTACCACATTATTTCTCGAAAAGTTACACAAAAACGAAAAGCCACCAAAATTTTGATAGGAAAACGCAGTTATACTTCTTACCTATCCCTACTCTGCACTATTTTTTAAAATAATGAAATAATATGTAATGAAAGAAGGTAATGGATTTTGTAGAGCAGAAAATTCTCTATCGAATGAGTTTAGAATGGAATCTTCGAACCTCGGTTGTGCTCGGAAGGAAAGAGAACAAAAGTGTGTCATTATTTCTGGCCCACCCGTTAGAAACAGCTTCTGAACAAAGAAAAAGATGTTTTATAAAGAGGATGTTTCACTTGCTTGGTTTTCTAATCTGCCCGCAGGCTAGTTGACATCTAGTTTTTGGACGTTTCGTGAAGTCACACAATAATTTATGTTTAATTTTACGCAATAATTTTAATAATTTATCAAAAAACTGCGTGGGAATTGAACTCGAGCAAAAGATAATAAAGGTTTAACTTACTCTTCTTCCTTGGTCACGTGTATACGTCATGATGACTGAAGTTTGAAGATATTAAGTGAAGAAGAGAAATACAAGAGATACAAGAATTTGTAAATAAAATTTTAAAAGTTTAACGAAATTTTTTAATTGTACAGATAAACCAAAAATAGAGCGCACTTGTATATATTCAGAGGAAAGCCATCATTGCCATCAATAGATGTTTTTGCATAACATAATAATAAAAGGGATGTAAAAATCCTTTAGTTGATAATAAGTGAGGAGTCAGCTTGATCTAATGTTCATCCTTAGATTTTTTTGTTTCTGTTTCTCTCAAAAACAATCATTAAAAAACGCTGACTTCTCTAATAATTAGATCTTCAGATACAAAAAAGGTGAAAATAATGTTGATTGACTAAAACATATTAATAATCAATGAATGAGTTCGTTTGACATTAGTATTTTACCAGCTTATACATACACAATGTGACACAACACAATACTATCAAAACCAAATGCGTGTACTAGACGATTCTTTTTGAGCTACAGGCACAGTAATAATACATTAGTAGAAGTCTGTTTCGAAAATTTGTTTGGCTTTTTTCCCAATAAAAGAATTTGTTTTAGTACTTAAAACACTTAATGCCAAACTTTTGAAAAAATGGACGTAGCTGGTTGAGGTTACGCAATACTTCCGCAATGCAAACCGTGACAGTTCATCTCAAATCTATCATTTTCATCCCACTTTCCGGTTGGTTTTATCGTTTTTCTCTCCTCTTTCTCTCTCGAACCGTTCCTAACTACGACAATTTGGCAAAACAGAAACACTTGTCAAACTTTTTTCTTATTCTATAATTAAATTATATCCGAATTATATATCGATTTTACTATAAAACACTTTTTTTCTTACTTTTGTTCTCTTCAGACTAATATGAGTCAGATGAACGATTTTTTTTTTACCGGTATTTATTAATATGAAATCATTTTCTATATGTCTTAATCGAAAACACTTTTTATTGTCATTTGTAGAATACAATCTACAATATGCAAATGTAAAAAAAAAAGAGAGAGAAAGAGAGAGAGTCAAGACTGGCGAATGCAAAATGAGCTTTATTGCAACATATGCTATTTTCAACTCCAAAATGTTAATGAGACATGACCAGTAAATAAAAAATTGTTAAGACGTGATCAAAAATGATAATTAAAGAGTTTAAATGATACTTGCCATATAACATATAATTTCTTGATAAGAGCAACAAAAAAAGATGCAGTATATAAAACACGTTCGATACAAATTACCTTCTCCCTATGTATTAGTTTTTTTTACAAAATCAGAGTTGACAGCAAATGTGCTACGTGCTGTGGCTTCATGAAAAAAAATTATAAATAAGTTTTGAATTCTCTTGATATAATGAAATCGATACCAGTTTTACTCTGTTCATACGCTGATGATATATTTTCCTTTATTCTGTCTCTCTTTTTCTTTCTCATTCTCGTCCTCGTTCTCGCAAACACGAACTTTTCTAATTGCAAATAGAGTTATAGAGACTAGTACTTAAGCATATTATTATATTAGGATAGATCATATCCAACATTATGGTGTATTCAATTTTATTCAATGGCAGTATACATTGAAAAAGAGAAAAGAAAAATACATTTTATTTGTTCACAAAAACAAAAAATTATTTCATATTTCAAAACAAACAAACATTCATTTAATAGAAATATACAGAGAAGAAAAAAATGGCAAATAATTTCCTTAATTTTCCTATCTGCAAATATTCATAAGGAAGATAAAGACTATAAAAAAAGAACTACATTCATCTGCTTCTATCTGAACATAACGAGAGAAAATTTTCAGAATTAGTATAAAAGAAAATACTTTAGAAATTTTCAGTATTTAAGGTATAACACTATATTGAATTTTAGCACCTAACAAGCGAAATAAAAAAAAAAGACACATGTAATTAATTACAGGTAATTTTCAAAATGACACGAACCTCACAGAGGTCAAAAAGATAAAAGGTCGGCTATTAAAATCATAATTCTGTTGTAATTGGTTGGTGTTGAATGGACGTACGACAATGGTGAAAAGGCAATGATGTCGAAAATGGTGTATTAGTGCTGTTATTATTATTATTATTATTATTATTATTATGACATGATTGTACAATTGTTGCGGAAGCATTACGAATATTAGACGTACTCAGTGTTCGTGTAACAATAACAGGTTTATCAGATTGTTGGTCTAAAATGAATAAAAAATAATGGTAAAAATAAGTGAGCACAATTGACTTCGATCTGTATTACGTACGACTAATATTGTTATAATTACTATTTCGATTTGTATTCAAATTAGAGTTGGGCGAAGTTAATGATAGATTATTGATATTATGTTTATTCGGCGAAATTGCTTCGCTGTAAAAGAATGTTTCCTAAATAAACATAGACATACTGATTTTATATTAATAGATGATTCCACACAACAACATTTCAGACTTTAAAATTCAACAAATCGAAAAAATTTGACACGAAATAACAACGTACGTCACACAAAAATATTCTAAGTGATGCATACGGTATATTTGATGGTATTACAAACCATTTTATCTCTCGTTATTTCAGTAAACTGAATTTCTATTGAATATTCACTTCAAATCGAAAAAAGAGATGAGCTTCAATAATCGACTCTTCTCTACATGCATTCAACTCATTCTATTCACATGCATTTAACTCACGTGTATCATCAATGTTATTATCATTAGTATTTGATGTAGTAGCAGCACATTTACGATGAGTTTTTGTTGAATCAACAACAAGATATGATAAATTATCATAATTAGCACATTTCAATTGAAATGTTGTTCTATTACAGGGTAGAGTATGTTGTTTTGTTCGAAAATAAAATCGACCATAGACATCATCGTTATTGAATGTTGAATAGTTTAAGACATTGTCATAGGTTCGATTATTATTTGAAGAAGTTCTAGCACGACTTAGTGTAGCGAACTCAGGTATAGGTGTATTTAATAATGGAAATTTTTTTAATAAATTTATTTTATTAATGCTGCTGCTACTACAGTTAACACTTTTAGATTCGATTGAATTTTGAACATTATTTGACTGAATAAACATGTATAAAATTTAAATGAAATGTCTGATCGTAAAAAGATATCTAAACTTACTTTGACAACAACAGAAGGCTGCGATAGTTTATCAAATGAAAATTCATCGTTTAATGAATATTTAGGAGGACTAATTGAAATTAACTTTCTTGCGATTGGTGAGACAGATGAACGAACGTGGCTAAACAACAAATAAAAACATAAAATTGCTCGTATCATATCACTTTAAAAGGAAAAATATACCCATTTGTAAGTACACCGTTAATATTATGCTGTGGTGAAATTTTTATCAATAAATTTTCATCATTATTATCGTTTATTGTCATATGATTGTTGTTTCCTTCTGATTCTACTTTAACTATTAAATTATTCGATTCTAAAGTGGAAAAAAAGATTGTTTAAACGTAAAAAATTAATCCATAATGTAAATAAGATTTAACATATAACATACGTTTATTTTTAATTGAATTTTCAATATAATAATTTTTACCGTTTGTTTTTAATTGATTATTGAATAATACTGGTTGATGTTGTTGTTGTTGTTGTTTATCATCTTTTGGTTGACGTGGAGGTATTGGTGGAGGTGGTACCATTGATACTGGAAGAGATGTTGAATTTTTTCTTGACGTTAGTTCATTATCTGAGAGGAATAAATAAAATTGCAGTTAAAATTGTTAATGTAAATCAACAATTTATTACCTTTAGTATTTATCAATAAATCTTGTGAGGATTGTTTTTTTGTTTCATTGGTAACATTGACACCTTGTATTAGATTATCTAAACGTTGTGATGCTGATAAATTTAAATTCTTCTGTGACGATGACCAAGAAGATGGACGTTTGTTCGATGATGACAATGTCAAATCGTGAGTAGATGCAGATGAATGTTTATGTCTGAAATAATAATAAAAACGAATTATAATGAGGTCAAAAAAGTATTAAAAATAAACATACTCTGGTGACTTTTTTCCTGAATTATGTTCTTCTAATTTGGCTTCTTGTTCAATTTTTAATCTTCTTAATCTTTCATCTTCTTGTTCTTTTAGACGTGCTTGTTCTTGTAATTTTTTTCGTATGGCATAAGAAGCACGCCTAGAAAATCGTTGCGATGGTCGTCGTTCAAAATTAACACTACGACGAGTTAAATTCACTGTTGCACTTTGTGCCTCTGTTCGTCCACTAACAAAATAAATCAAATAATATTTAAAATATTATTTTCAAATATATATAAATTAATTTACCTAAAACGAAATCGAGATCCCATTCTTGTAAAATTTTCTTTAGTATTTAATTTAGCTTTCGGTGGTTTAATACATCGAAAAAATCCATGATATTCTATTGCACACGTCCACAAATGTTTACATTGCTTTTCATCATATAAACGAAATATAAATGTATGATCTCGTTGAAGATTTGGATCATTATCATCATCTTCTACAACAACAACTGTTAGTTTCTTATGTTTAAAATCTAATTTGGTTATTTTCGGCCTAGAATAGTGAATAAAGAGAATTAAATGCACTTCGGCAGTGATCTTTGCAGAAAATTCATACCAGAAAAAGAGACCAATTTTTTGTTTATTTTCAAATACTAAGATTCCCGTTGGAGTCAATCCTAAACGATATTCCATGCCATCTCGTCCCTGAAAAAAAAAATTGAATTTAATCAAAGCAGGACAAATTATTGTCTCTTTGACAAATACCAGTACTGTATGTAAATCTACTCCATAATTTTCAAGCCATTTTGCTCTGTTTAGATATTGTATTTCGGCATCAGCAGGTGTTAAATTTCTTAAAAAAGAAGAATAAAAGTTCAGAAAATGCAGAAGAGAACGAATTGTAATGCATACTGATAAGTTTTCCATTTCTCAACAATTGCTTCTTCAACGTCTTCGGTTTGTTTTCCGTCCGGCATAAAACGAAACTCTGATACAGTTTCTGCTGAATGTTCGCTTGGGACATAATCGCCTAATTCAGCTGTAGAAAACATAATCAGTCATTAATAATTTGTTCAAAAAAAAAGTTTACATCTTTCTTTACCTTGAAGCGCTAATGCGGCCAAATCAATGCTTACATCAAGGGGACATTCTAATTTTCCCGTTCTTACGTCATCTTTTAATTGTAGAACAAAGAAATATCTAAAATGATAAATCCGATAGAAAAAAATAATTTATATTATTCGTCGTTTATCCTTTTACCGTGTTAATTCTTCATGTAGAGTTTGTGGTTCTGATGCATAAAATTTAATACGCAAACGGAATGTGTATGGAGGACCAACTAAAGAAAAATTGTAATTGTTTTAATTAAATCAGGAAAATTAGAATAAGAACTGTCAATACATACTTTTGCATTGTTTTTTTATGCATTTTGAAGCATCGAGCCAATGCTTAAAAAGAAAATCAATGATATAGTTTATCTGATACCTTATGAGTCAATTAGTAAATATTACCTGAACATTATGTGTATCAGTGTATTGTAAACCAAAATAATCTTTTTCAATTATATCACTTTGACTAAAAACTTTATCGTATAAAACTTTTCCTATTGCTTTACGCTAAAATATATACAAAAAGTTTGTCCGTAAGTTTTTTTATTGTAACAAAGTTATTGAAAACACTTCAAGTTAGCTTTTAAATATAGGAGAGCAAATACATTAAAACAGATCATAATATCCCACTCTATGCAAATGTGAAAAGCTGCCGTAATAGGAGAGCATATTTCCTGTCTTGCTTATTCTACTTTAGCGTTATACGTAACTAAAGGGATGAATACTATAGAGGACTCGGATCTTCTATCGCGTCCTAGCGCTCATAACTTTGAACGAGATTTTCTAAAGCGTCTCTAACAAAAAGCCAATTTTAAGCTGAAATCGCTTGATCGAGAGTTCACACTGTGTACAAAGTTGTTTATTCAGCTGATGAACGCTGTTTATTTTTATTATTGTACCATTTTAATTCAGTCTATGAGTGTATTTCATGTCACATTTACAAAAAAAAAAGCAAAAAGGCGAACGCAAAAACTAATGTTTGATTGAATCCAAAAATCATCATATTTTAGGTCAAAAATCGATAAAAAGAGGGAGTCTTTTAACGTGATTTTTGCGTTATGAGTTCAAGAGGGATCTTGTAACAGTGGGGAACTTCTATCGTAGGGAGTCCTCTATTGTGTCCATCCCTTTAGTTCTTTGTAAAAAACCCGTTTTATTATGTGGCTTGACTAGCCAAGAGATACACAAAGATCTGGAACGTTCTCAGATTAAAGAGAAAAGTGTGCTAAACATTGTGAGATGTTCCCGCAGTCCACATGTTCTTTCGTTAAAAAAGTAAGATGAAAAGACAACCATCTACTGTTTTGGATAAATTTTGAAAAATAGGTGTTTGTATTTTTATCATAGTTTTTGAACAAAAGAACGTGTTGACTGCAGGAACATCTCACAATCTTTAGCACACGTTTTTCTTTAACCTAAGGCGTGCCAGATCTCTGGGTGTCTCGCTGTTCGAAAACTGTAAAAGAAACAAAACGCAAAAAGATCGTTATGAAATTTCATTTCGGTAACAGAGTTAGCTAGCCAAGCCATATGATAACTTGATTTCTTTTAAGATGCGACGATGTTTTGCTGTAGTGAGAGAAAATATGATATTCGAATAAAGAACAGTATGACTACAGCATAAAACTGAAATTAGAACATTTCTATTATCTTTTGCTCAAATAAAAATCGGTTCACAACAAACAGTTAATTTCAAGAGAAAACACGACCAACATTTATAATTTGCATTTTTTCTATATATTACACATATAAGTTGTGTGAAAGTATATATTTTGAATAGAGCATACTCGATTATATGTAAAACTGAAAACAGAACATTTTAATCATATTTCATCTCCGGATCATTTAAAATGTTATAATATGAACTTTAAAATTAAAAAAAAGACTGTACTCATTACATTGACTAAAACAGTGAGTGTCTAGTTTGAATTATCATCTAAAAGTAGACATTTTCTGTCAAAATAGTGAATTAGAGTAGAAGAACGTTCTATGCCATTGCGAGCAAAACACAATTAACTGAGTTAAAGTTCTAAATATGTTCGTCAATTTTTATATGAAATCTTCATGATCTTTGTAGAACAGGTCCGTTTTTCAGTAACAGTAAAAGAAACATTTAATTTTAAGTTTTAAAACAATATGATGATACGTTCTTTCCAACAAAGAAAAAAATCGTATTATTATGTTTTTTATCTTTATTTCAGGAAAAGAAACTTCATTTTCTTCTTTTTTTTAAATTACATTTGTATTCTTCCATGTTACTCACATAAGAATTGGATAAAAGATGATTAACGATCAACGCCTATAATAAAAGGGAGGCTCACGGGAAGAAGAAAAAAAACTAATATTTCCTTTACGATTTAGTTAAATATGTGCATAGGAAGTACAAAAAAATTGTGTAATATAATCATTTGTACCTACACTGTACATACACAAGATGAAATTATTGGATTATCACACATTCCTTATTTGTTAGAATACAAACAACACATATCACATCACATCACATCTCAATAAATAATAAAATAAATGTAACCGCATAAATTTCCTCTTTCTTTCGTCAATTAAATCAAATATTGAAGAAGATAATCCAACTGAAAATTCTGCTACGAGTAGTTGTAGATTATATTCCAAATTTGAAAAAAAATTCAAGAAATTTATAGTAACCTTTTACATATCAAAGAGTTTTTAGAAGTTAAATATCTTTTGTCCATCATTTTAAAAGCATATTTCTTAGAACAATTAGTTTTTATTAAATTCCCTCAAACGATACATTCTATCACATGAAGAAAGAAATATACAATGTCACGAAATTGAATCATAAAATCCAATGCACATAAACATAATAATTGTCAAGTTTTTTTTTTTTTTTTTTTTTTTTTTTTTAAATAAATTTTTATAAAAAAATCTGGGGCCAAAAAAATGCAAATATATTAATTTTTTGTCTTTCTTTTTCTTTCTCTTAAATACGTATCGTATTTCTACTAGACTATTTCACCACTACTACTACTATTTTTACTTTTTGAATACACACATATAAAATAAATAAGCGCAAATATAAGTAGCAGCTGACACTTTGTGAAGAAGAAACAAAGTATATTGAACGTCTCTCTCGTATATATTAGAATAAAAAATATATGAGCAAAGTCTGAAACACGTCTGACACCCATATCAATAATATATAGTTCGTTGATATAACTTTAAATTTATTTTTTTTTACTAATAAAAATGTTTAGTCATACTCATGCCGTTTATCTAATAAAATATCCCAATTTATTATCATTTACTGATAAAATATTAACAATACACTATTGTGTGTAGTAAATAAACTTGTTTTACTTTTCACTTCTTTATTAGAAGTTCAACAATAAACTTTGTCTCATTTTTGTTTTCATATCATTCAAGTATCACTCTAAACAATGTAGTAGATCTCAAGCTATTTAAAATTTTAGATAAAATATCACACAGTATTTTAATTTAACTCTTAAAATTAGTTAGTTTAAAGAAAAAGAAAAATAGACCTGAAAGATGACTGACTAAAATTTTATCTTTCATTTATTTTTTCAATAATATAATTTCAGAAAACAATACTTTGTATAATATGGAAAAAGAAGAGCAATCATAGATATCAAGCTATTCATTAGTTACTAAATAAACGATATCCAGCTGTTTTAACTAGAAAATTATGTCTAACTCAAATAATATGAATGAATAAAACATGTTCTTCTCTATTCTTTGTACTTACATCAACTTCAAAATTGACATCTTCCCCATCAAGAAAAACCACAGTGCATACTAAACCATTTTTAACACTATGTAAAAGATTTTTTGTTGTAATTAATTCAAGAGTATTATCATTGTGTTTACTATGTTTTATATAATGATTATTATTATTATTGTTGTTATTATTATTATTATTATTATTATTTGTGCGTGTGTTGGTTGTTTGACGAGTAAAAAAACGTATTAACCGAGATGCCATATTTCCATACAGTTCCCATATTCTAAATGATAATTAACGGTAGTGATAAACGATAGTAGGCTAATAAATCAAACATTTTTTTTTTTTTGCTGAATAAACCATAAAAAAAATCTAGAAAAACAAAACAAAACGTAAATCATATATTGTTACTAGTCGCTCTCTTTCTTTTTTGTCCGTGATTATTCCTTGTTTGCTACTCATACAGTTGTACATATATACCTATCAACAATTGCTATGTGAGATGAAGAGAGAGAGAAAGAGAAAGAGAAAAAGAGAGAGGACACAACACACTTTGTGTTGGATTGACGTGCACACGTTTTGTTCATCGGTCAATCATTAAAAAAAAGTATTTTTTTAAGAGAAAAAAAGAAACACGATTGAAGAACACACGTAGACACTACTAAAAGAGACTAGAGAGAAAGAGAGAGGGAGAAAAAAAACTATACGATGAAAAAATATCAGTATATACACAAAAAGCGTTGGAAAAGAGTATATATACAATAATAATAATAATAATGGCAGACATTGTTTCTAATTTTGGTTAATTACGTTAAAAATCATCATTATACGTATATACAGAACCATCTAAAAAAAGTAGTTTAATGAGCATTATTTAATGAACAAGTGATGATAAATGGTAGAAAGCAAAGATGAAAAACATATGTTGAACGTCTGCTAATACAAAATTATATAATTAAATTGAGAATCTATGAAAAATGAACTATGAATGTCAATAGCGAAGAGATTGATTACTTCTGACATAATTATGTTGATACTAACCTTATTCGAAAGACTTGTTCACAATCATCATAAAAAACCTAAGAAATTTGTTCAAACTTTCTAAAGTCAAAAGATTTATGATGGATAGAAATAGATTAATAATATAAATACTCTCTTTTATCAAATCTAATTTAATTTACTCAATCAGAACAATATGAAAAAAGTCTGTTATTAATCTTTCCTTTTATTTTTTCTTTCCTTTTTATTTCCTGTTAATGTCTTCTCTGATACCTTTTGATCAGCAATAAGAGGAAACACTTTTCTATTCTATAAAACATGAAATGATAAGAAAACACAGGTCAATGAACGTGCATAATACACCCATTTTAATGAGAGTAAAAAAAAGCATCGGTCTGGCTAGAAGAAAGACTTGTCTACTCTGGAAATGTAAGATAAAAATTAAAGTCTCAAATATAATTGCATTTGATGTTTCGTTAGTCTTAACATATTTCTGAAATCTGTATCTATCTCTAATCTTTCATTTTAAAAATCTAATCTTTCTAACTTAATATGCTCACCTGTATTGTTCGAATAAAATTAACTTTGCAGATATTGACTGAAGCGAGACATGTCAAACTTTTGGATTCATTGATTTACATAAAAAAAAAGAACTATCAGGTAAAAAAGATCATTGAATTTTCTTTCGAATTAACATAATCATATACATATGCAGATTGTATTCTATTCTAAAAAAATCTAGAGAATAAAGATGTCTACTTATATGTAAAAAAAAAACAACGTCCCATTTATTATGAACATAAGAGAACAGCTGCATCTAAATGAACGATATCTATTTACCTCGCGTGTTGGTGAAAAGAATGTACACATGTATGAAGATATTCTTTTTTTTTCATTCGGTTATATCTCATAGTATGTTGAACTATTATATAGAATTAAGAATGAAGAGTAATGACGTGCATTTCTCACAAATCTTTTAGAAGGAATGAATGGATGAGTCAATGAAAACAAAAAAAAAAGAGACAAATCTATTTGTGACCCAAACAGTGATTATATTAGGTTCTACACGAAACTATCAGTATAATCTTGTAATTAGTATTGCACAATTCTATGAAATGTTTATCAATTTAAGGTCATAAATGTCTGTCTTTTCATGGGAAATGTCTACGCACAAAGTTTTGCTTTACTTGTGAGATCGCGACACACATCTACGCATTAATGACATTAAACCTTACTCACTGTATAGGTTTTCAAAGAAATATATTTTTTTTTAAAATGATATTGTATTTGTTCTATCTTTTGTGCCGTTAGCTCGAACAAACAATTCGGAATAAAATAGATCCTACTATTTTTCAAGAACTGCATGTCAAACAAACATTACCTTGAATTACTACACTTTCTCTCATTCATTAAATAACTTGACATAGTACTATAGATTCGATATGCAACTTATTCTAATGTTTTATAAGATGCACCCAGGGCAGCCTTGCAGTGAAATTTATTTTTCGACACTTCATACACCATTCGATAGAGAATTTCGCGGTGATCACGAATATCACTTCCAAGGCTCTCAGAACCCTTTCCTCACT